TCTAAGGAAATGGTTCACAACAATAATTTTCGAATTTTTTATCATTTATTATGTCTTTTCCAATTTTTCATAACAGATATCAATTTGATTTCATCTGACATTTATTTATAACCTATACCGGTTACCTGTTTTTGAAATTTGATGAAATTTGCTGCCCAAATCTTGAAATTTAAATCTCCCACTCTCGTGTATTTGTTTCTTGTCAAGTCCGTGAATTTCAATACATGGTCAACTTTCTGTAAAAATTCTACGGGGTTCACGGTTCCATTATTTCTCAATATAGGCCTCTGTTGGATTTTTTTGAGAACTACCCATTTCCATTATATTATTATTACCATTATTTAGAATAATTTCTGGTGCCAAATTATTCGAATTCATTCCTGGATTTCTGCTTTGAAATGAATTTAGGTTAGGATGGGTTTGATTTAACATCTGTGGATGATATTCCATAAAATTTATATACGAGGGGTGGTTAGAATGCTAATAGGCAGGATTGAAGTTTGGAAAATTTTTCCCGAAATTTCCACTATTTAAAGGTTTCTATGTAAATTATCTGGATTTGAGGTAAAATTCTTACTAGGTAAACTATTATAGTACCGAGGAACGTCTTATTTTGGCTCTGAAAAGTAGGGAATACGCCAGAAACAGAAGTAGATGTTTGATTGTTAGATAGATCGGGTTGAGTCTGAAAGCTATTACTTTGAGTTTGATTTTTCTGCTAATTCGAATTTTGATTTTTCGCCCTTACATTTTCAGTTTGAAACCTAGGACTACGAATATTTTGATTAATTCCATTTGAATATTCATCACGCCGAGGATATTGGTTTTGATTTTCGGACAAATAATTAGGTATCTGGCCCCCATTTGATGAACTACCAATGTTCAAAGACTTTCTTCTTTGTTGTGGTCTTCCAGCACTAGTCGACAAAAATGAAACGTTCCTACTTCGATCATCCCCCTTTTTTGGGGTGGCTACTCCACTAAAGGCTGCTGTGACATACCAAACTTTGGGATAGCCCTAGTATTTGACTGTGGCTGTTGAGCCGCTACTCCTCGTTACCGGCCACTCTGACATATTCGATGGTGTGTTTGATAATCCCATATCGATAAAAATACTCAGATTTTCTCTCACCTAGTAAATACCAGCTCACGTTGACGGCGCCAAATGATGTAACGGAATGACTTCTGGTCAGTTTCGTTGGAAGTACGGGGTTCGGATTACGTATTTTTGTTCAATAAACTAGTCCGAATTCCAGTAGATTCAGTTTGATTGGTCAGCATTCAAGATAACTGTAATAAATAAATAAATTCAAATTGGTGTGTTTACAATTCAAAGAGGTGATGCACCATTACCTGTGCCAGACGAGAAACCCTGTCGAAATTGGTACAGAATTTCGTAAGTTTCTAAAATCACGAGGTCACACCTATCATCGAACAATCAAATGAAATGATCGAATACAGAACGATTTAAAGATAACACCTAGCGTTTTCACGAAAGGAAACAAAAACGCTCGCGCTGGAACCGATTGAACAGGTAACGTATATATCGAAATAATTAGGCCTGGAAGTAGGCAATCATCATTTCATCGTACCGCTTAGGTTGAATTCTTCGCATTGTTCACACTTCTCGTAACCTAATGATGCAAAAGAAATGTTTTTTGCCTTAACACGAACACAGTGAGCTTCGTAGCTAACGTTCATGTCTGGATATTGTGATTTGAAGGTCTCGAACATTATTGATATAGAAATGTCGCTGGAAAGATATCTTCGGTTTGGTGCATGCTCTCGCCTGATATAGAAAAAAAAAGCATGTATATCAACATAATTATGTACATATATCATTTTGAAAACTCACCTATAGTGGGAAATTACTGGTTGAAACGACTCTATGTGAGCATCTACTAAATCATAATTTATCTTCTTCTTGACAGACTGTGTTCGCTTATCTTATCGGGGATATAGTTGGTACTTGGGAGTATTTTTCAATGTATTATGTGTAACTCGGTCATTGGTTTTTTGTAACCTAGTGTGGTGAGAAAAAAAGTCTTACATATTTCTACCATTTGACCATTTGCAGTTTTCAACTTATATTTGAATGTGTTCTGTTTCTTTTCGCTTTCAGTAGTACGTCGTTTCACATCAAGACGACTGCAGGTATTGAGGATAAATGCTTTCCTTTCTTTAGTATATAATTTCCAAAAGTTTGTATTCAAAATTTTTCTCTGGTTTTCTGCAATACTATTGAACACTTTTTCCTACACTTACATCCAGGCAGCAGCTTGTGATTTGTGAGTTGTCTTGTTTTTTTCAATAATTGCTTTCTGCTTCAAATTTGTATCTATTCGTCTTCTTTTTCTTGGATTGCCACTTTTTGTAATATCTTTTTCTATGCTTTCACCTTCCCCAGTATTGTCCGCTTCTATTTCATCCTTCCCTGTATGTTTTTGTTCACTTTCACCTTCCATTGTATGTTCCGATTCGTTTCTACATTCCCCTGTATATTCTGGTTCCCTTTCATATTCATCTATATGTTCTGGTTCGATTTCACATTTCTCTGTATGTTTTGATTCATTTATCATCATTTGATTATCTATTATCTGGCATGGTGCACTAACTTTGATAAATTCGCAGCATGCTTCATTGACATGCTGCGAAATTCTTGACTAGGACAAATATTTGAAATGGACATTTGGTGGTTTGAAATGTCTGAATTGTCTTCCAATGGTATCAAATTAGTCAATTCAGTGAAAACTTGTGGTTGAAACATATTCTCTAACGAAAAATCTAAAGATGCCAATGAAAAACCATCCTCAGTCATCACTACGATATTCTGTTTATCATCGTAAACTACAAAATTATCATTATTGGTTATATCGGGTTCTTTGGGAACCATGGAAAGAATTTTTTCGAACTAATTGACATTTTCCTAAAAATATTTCAGTTTAATAACTAATCACTCACCTAAATGTTTGATGCAAACATACCTTGAATATTGTAAAAATCTTGTTGAAATGACAACTTATAACTAACACTCTCCACGTTGAAACTCAAAAATCAATCTGATAACTCTATGCAAATCGCAATGCAGTATGTTTTGTAGATTATGGCGCGGTTTGAAAGAAAAAACGCCGCATCTTACATTTCCCAACTGGAAAGGCCGTATATGTATAGAAGTGGAAGTAGATACGGCTTTTGTGTTTAGTATTACATACATACGGCATATTTTACTAGTATATACATTTACTCTTTCACATACGGCTAAATAAAATGATAAGTTTTGAATGTACCAAAAAATCATACGGCTTTTTTGCTTGGTAGAAAGGTAAATCAGCCTGCCACGAATCCAATAGGAAAAAAATCTCAAAAACTGATTTTTTTGTAGATACGGCATCTGTTCTTAGGACGGCAGTACAGTACAGTACATTGTGTTCATGTAATAGTTATTTATGTATCAAGGGAATTAGGAGGGCCTTAATTACCGATGGCAAAGTTTGCGTCCCGAGGGCCTCTGGCCCGAGGGACAGCAATGGCCTGAGGTTATTAAGGCTCATTAATTCCCGTGGTACATAGATAATTTTATTTCTGACCGATTTCAATAAAATTTTGTTCNCAAGTCAGTCAGTAACTAGCATTCACACTGTCAACATCGTTCTTTTGAGCTAAAAGTTGTATTTCGTAAATAAATAAATCTTTTTAAAAAGGAATTTCCATCACTCGTTGATGTTTTTCTCGATATATTCTGTTATTCAACAACTTATTATTCATCACATTTAATAATGACGTGATCTATCTCAATAATGAATTTTGATCCCAGTAAATAAAATCTTAATTAAATGCAAAAGATTATGCTTGCAAATTCTAGTTTCGTTATACTATAGTGTTGTTCAATATGTTTTGGTCACTCTTGACACAAAACATATGGGTACCTCTTTTCCTTGCTGTACTTGCAATAATACTCCAGCAAGTTTAAACATTGATGCATCAGTTCTTAAAATGATTCATTTATTAATAATTTAATATGTTTCAGGTGACTTTTCCAGTCTGTGGAATATATTAAGATCTCATCAATATAATGAAGAATAAAATCATTGTATTCATCTAAAATTGTATGGATTGTCCTAACTAAAGCTGAACAAGAACTCTGCAAACTGGAATTACTCTGAATATATACAAGACTCCGTCTATTGAATATGCTGTATAATCCCTACTGTCATTGTGAAGTGGAATTAACCAAAAACTATGTTTTAAATCTATTTTAGAAAATATTTTTGCAATTGTAATGCTTCCAAAAATCACATCAATATTTAAAGGTGCCTCGTATTGAAGTGTGGTGTATTTGTTAATATTTCTAGGATCCAAACATAATCTTAATTCACCATTATTATTTTTTACTATAACGATAAGATTAATGTATTCTGAATTACATCTTTCAATTATTTTCTGTTCTAACATTTTTGTTATTTCTTGTTGAACTTGATTTCGATATTTATATGGAATAGGGTACGTTTTAGATTTGAAACTTTGTATTCCTTCATTCACATTATTAATAAAATTTGTATGTTCATTTAATAATGTTAATACTTTGTCTTTCATTGATTCCGCACATTCCATATCTAATACTGGTTGTTCCTCTATTACTCTGTTATTTACTTGATTCATAATATTAGTATTCATTTCTGATTTATTTTCATTATTATTTATAAATTCTATTATTTCTTCCCCAATCTGTAATATCCTTCGTCATAGTCAATTATTACGTTATTTCTGTCAAGTTCGTCAGTTCCAATTATTGCGCCATATAGTAAATTGTCTATTATTAAAAATTGTATAGCAAATTATTGATTATTGAACTTAATTACACTATTCTTTTAGTTATTTTTAGTTACTCCATGTAACTTTTTATTATTTGCACCTACCAATACAGTTTTTGGCATACTGTAACATAAATGTTCCAAATTTAATTCCCTAATAATTTTTGAATTTAGTAATGAAATTTCAGATCCTGTATCTATTAATAATTCAATATCTTTATTATGAAAATTTACTAGTATTTTTATAAGTCCTCTAACATTTTCTAATTTAAAAGTTTTCTCAATTTCTACAAATTCCCTGGGTGTTGGTAAATTCCTGCATATTGTATTTTGTTAAAATTTGTTGTTGGTAGGTTGCTTACTGAAAATTTTGTGGATTATTTGAAGGTTCCACCTCATTGTGTGTCTGTTCTGTGTCTGTCCTATTATCATTATGTCGAATTTCCTCTGTACTTCTACTTCTTCTTTGTTGTGTATTTCTATAGTCCTGTCTTCTGTTATTATAAGATCTATCGTCTCTGTCACTGTCCCTATCTACACTTCTACCTCTTCGTCTGTATATATATTTTTTTCAACGTAGTGTGCGCTGGTCAGGCCCTATCCCCCGAAGCCCCGATACATTCGAGAGGGCGCGCCAGCATTATCAACCAACGACCACTCCCCACACCGTGGGGTAAAAGTACTGCAAGAAAAACTAGACGGGTACTACATTAAAAAAGACTGTTGTTTTTGTTGAGCGGAGTACTTTTTTTGGTGCAACAAAATTTAAATCAGAAAGTCCGCAAGAATGGGCCGCTCGTTTAAACAAATTGGCAATGAATTGTGATTTCGGAATTTCGTTCGAAACAAAATTATGCGATAAATTCATAACCGATTACAACCCCGGGAAAGTGAGGAACAAATTATTCACAGACAAGAAAGAGGTAACATATTCAGAGGCTTTAAACACAGCAATAATTGAAGAATCAGCACTAGCTGGAATTATGGATTGTGACATAGAAGTGAAGAGGGAGCCTAAGGAGGCTGAAATTAATTCCATTTCAAAAACAACAAGGTCAGTCAGGCAGCAAATGTGGCGGAACGCAGTTTGATCAATCCTGGCGCACCCGGGCAACATCTTCGGCGGGTTCGTCTCAAATGCCCCTAGTGTGAGTACATATTAACAAATGTTCTATTAAAGGTCATCTGGGTTTTGTTTGTAACAGTCGAGGACAAAGATTGAATTTTGTAGAGTCATCAGATGTACATGAAGTAGAAAATAATGAATGTTCTTCAGTACTTTGTATACGGCAAGACCCAGATAAACCAATCATCATTAAGGTTTCTCTAAATGATGTACCTTTGAAATTTGAGTTAGACTCTGGTGCTGCAACTTCAATTTTGCCACTTAGAACATATAGAACATATTTTTCTGATAATCCATTATCGGATACAAACATGACATTGACAAATTTTTCTGGAGACAAAGTTTTTTCCTTGGGTATATTAACTTTGGCAGTTACATTCAATTATAAACGAAGATTTATTGAATTTTGTGTTGTGGATACTCGTGGACCTGCCTTGCTGGGCAGAAATTTCATTCGCCAATTCAGTATGATTTTTCAGGAAGTGAAATATTTGGAAGAGAAAATGAAAGGAATTGATTACTTCACTGAAAAATAC